TACAATGCCTTAAAATTAAATAAAAATCTATATTATCCGACGGACTTGGTAGCATCGATTAAGGATTGCAAGTGGACTGACCACATAAGACAAATCATATAATGGAAATTAGTACTTGTGTTCATGAAAAGGTAAGCAAACTATTCCTCGGTCGCTACACCCGCGGCTGTGGTTGTTTTAAATAAAAAGCCGAGCATAACTCTCTCAAAATATGTTTTCCAATTCAAGGTTGAGAGATCAAGCTAACATCTAATATAAATTTGTTACATATAAATGTATTTGACCTTAATGCCTACGTTGACCAGAAGCCTTAATATGTTAATTTGGGAATCCATTGTTTCGGAACCAAACCCAAAATACTTAGCCTGCACATTATGATGGTAATGCATCCATCAGTCACCGTAGGAATTTCAATAAGTCAATTTTATAATGTCCTGTTGGACAGTGTAGTGTCAATGTTCTGCATTACCGATGAGCAAATATTAACGTCAATTATCGAAGAATTAATCATAAATAACGAGAACGTTTGCTCACACATCAATGTCAATTTAAACGTCATGTCAATATGATATCCTATAGAGCGATCTGAATATTAATCAGTGATATTATTTCAAGGATATTAAGTAGTGTTTCTTGATCCTCCACAGTCGCAGATTCTCCGGTTAAAAATGTTTTCACTAGTAGTAAAACCGATTGAGTCTTGAGCATAAACGAGCGAATCTTAGTCTTAAGCCAAAGTTATATCGCCCTCACGATGAGTACAAACTAGCTTGAATTGAGATATGACCAGAACAACATGGACGCTACGACTGAATCAAAACTATAGTTTCTGGCCGCCCGGAAGTAATCTCAAGAGTGGCTTCAAACAGTTTATACCCATTCTTAGGTGACAGTGGGTAAAACGCTGGCTCGCTAGCCTGGAGGTCGAGTGGCCGAGAAAGTTCATTCAGATTTTCAGGCGTAGTCCCCTCTTGTCAGTGATGCAGGACGGATAGCCTGACAAGGAGTTGTCTAGTCGTTGGGATGGGACGAAAAACCGAGGTCCCGTGTACACTTTGGCGTGCAAGTAAAAGATCCCTTGGCAGTTGGAATTCGATATACTAGGACGTTAAACCCCATTTCATTTCCATGAAGATATCTCTGGTCGTGGGTGATAAGCTAGAAGCATTTAGTGGTTTCTGGTAGTTCTGTAGTGTCATAGGGCAACATAAGTTATTCGGTATGAAAAAAAAATATGTATCTCTAATCTACACAGCGATTACAAGTCTGTGTGAGGCCTAGTATTGATCGCACCTTGTGCCAATATCTTCTATAAATGTTATACACCCCCAGAATGTACAATTTTTTATTATGTAAAATCGTATAAGTTACATTTGTAATTCTCTTTGGCTAAAGTAAATTTAATGGGCTCGCCCCACTCATCTGATTTTATTTACTTGTATCTCGCGAACTGAGAATTGCAGAGTTCTAAATAACATTTTTGTCATATTGAGAAAATCGCTTGTAAAGTTCGATTACTAATTGTGGGCATCCTTATTACAGAATATTTCAAATTAGTGATTGGGATGTTCAGTCGTCCTGAGTACTTGACAATATCTCAGTCTTTCTGTGTTTTCGTCAAACTTCATGGGGTTACTGAGTCAAACGCAACAAATGGAACCTGTTAAAGGCTCAATACCGCTCTTGTAACTGAATAATATGTCCCAATCTTTATTCTGGTCAACAAATTGTACTATTTTACAATATTCCAAATAATTGGTGATACAAATTTCATCTTAATACACCTAATTTAAAAAATTGGAAAAATTCAATTAAATTATTTGAAAAGCCTAACGTAAACCTTTTCAAATGTGACTTAGATTTTAAAATATTTTCGAACCCTCTGGACAAGTAAAATAGGATGTAATGGATAATTTACACAACAGGTAGGACGCTTAAACATCTAGTACTTAGAATAAGGCTATTATTTATTTTCTGGAGCTGTCAAGCCAGCAAGAGTGTTATTGTCCCTTTAACATTGAAAATGAAAACAGGTTCTATCTGTATTCCGGTTGTTTTTTTTTGTTTTTTTTAAAAAGTTATGGAATGTTAAAACTACGAAAATAAACCATCTTTAATTGTAATTATTGCTACCGGTGCCAAAAACCAAAATAGTCAATAGTTAATGACGGTCCATTTTTCTTTCAACTTTTCACTAGTGGACACCTTCAAATTAATAGGGTTCTATCTGCCATGTTTCACGAATGAGGCTTAGACTTAACTATGCTGTCTGGGCGATGCTGACCTGACTAAAATACAAGCTGAAATCTGATTGGTCCTCTGAAAACTCCTCTGAAAATATCTTTCCTGGCTAAGTCTATAGGCCTCATTCGTGGATAACGGCAAATAGAACCCTACTAATTTGAAGACTGTGTCCACTATTGAATCGGAACCTTGTAATTGTTCTGTTATTAGATAGAGAGTTGTAATACCAACAATATCCACTATCAAACTCAATTTTGACCAAGATGTTAGTTAGAACCCCCGTAATTTTCAAATCGCGATCTTTGTCAGAAATATAAGTTGTTTTTACCATACTGTAGGAAATCACAGATACGCCACTGGCACCAACCGGATTATATTGCACGAACATATTATGTATATTTTAACAAATTGCTATCTTAAAGATACATTAGTTAAGAGTTTTATAAAGAGTTGGCCATTCTTACTATAATAATTCATAAATATATGATAAAATAAAGAAAATGTTGAAAATTTCAGTCAAATTACTTTGTTCTAATCGGAATTGTCACTGTTGGAAGTTTGGACTAAAAATAGGCATCAATTGTGTCTGCACCGTCTATGAGAATTGGCGATCGTTTGATTGGCTGACGATAACTCCACCCACATATTCTCTATTATCAAGTAACATGCTCAATGGCTACGGTAGCCGCGCTTGGCAGTTCTTTCATCACCAGTTTGCGGTGGTGACATCAGCGACTAACGGTAAACGTTAGCCTTTTCCGCCATTTATTGATTTAATTTTAAATGAACGACTGTTTAAATCCAAACTGTATCCAAGCCATCTGTGGGTATACAGAGTTGTTTTTGAGCTTGTCGTGTAAATAAAGGTCTAATTAATAATTTATAGAACATCTGAGGCCTAAATAAAAACTTGCAATAGGCAGATTTAACACTTGCATAATGTACGTTTAAGTTAAATTTGCCCTGGTAAATTTTTTTGTTTTATTTGCATCCCTGTCCCCTTTAAAAAATTATTGTATCCAATACCAATATTATAATAGATACCTTTGGCAACCGGAATTTTTTCTATTCGTATAAGATACGGATACCCGATACGTTGCATCAATGTAGTTTATAGTTTAGGCACATTTTCGCGCCGTGTACGAACGAGTAGCTGCGCTGGGCTTAGTTCTATTACACCTAGCCTACAAAGTCGCTCGACAGTTGCTGGGTTATTTAAAAAAAATAATGTCGAATCTTATTAAGAATCGTCAACCTCGACTCGACAGCAGTTTTTGGTTTCACTATCATTTTAGAAAGTTTATACCCCTTTACCTCCCTAAATTTAGCACGTAGATCAACCGGCATGTAGACAGATAGACAGGGGAAATATGAAAATTCCGAGAAGAACTGAATAATCTCCAGCCTTTATCATGGTTAAATCTCACTAAATAAACACCTTCGTGTTCTATGATACACATAGATCCATAAAAACTCTATGGTACAATATTTCAGCGTCTAAAAGTAGCAAAAAAGACCTTTTCCGCACGAAAGCTGTTCGATACGTGCTGCCGTATCCGTGTGCCGTATCACGCATGAGAAATACACACACATTGATGACGTCACACGCAAAATCGTACGGACCAGGAATTTACGCTTGCCAAAAGTCTCTAATATCTCGCCATCTTCTTGTGAAGACTTGACTGCAATCGTATAAAATATTATACATAATTTTCCGTAATTGACGACTCAAACATAGAATTTAAATATATAAACTTTGTTCAAGCCGCTTATCGTCATTGGCGTTTTTTTGCATTTAATTTTTTCAAGGCTTAAACCACGCTGAATGTTCTCATATTAATTACTTAATATTTATTTATGAAAACAACGCCAACATATCTTCCGGCTTGGATTCAATCGGATTTGTTTGCGATATTACCCACGAACCAACGATTCAAACGGAATGAAAGAGGTTCTTCTAAAGAATTTACCCAACACTTGTTTAGATCGTCTGTAGAAGATACTGAATTTTGCGGAATTTCTAATTCGTCATTTCTTTATAAACACCGAACGGGATCGGTTCAGTTTGGACTCGTATCCCATTTAGACATGCAAAATCTATCCGATGATGACCAGCGTATTTAGCCGGAATATACTTCTTCCACCTATGGCTGTTGTCATTGTATGATGCCATCATTATTTTTTTATGTTTAACATTCTACACCATAAACCAATTCATTCGTCAGACCGGTGCAAGTTTGTCATGTCCTAGCTAAAGTTTCACATAGTTTCACTTCTTCGGTTAACAAAAAAAAACCTTTTATGGCCGAGAAAGTGTTACATTACTGATGATAATTATCCATCCTTATTAAAAAAAATAATCTTTTGTGGCCGAAAAAGTGTTACATTACTAATGATAATTATCCATCCTTATTAACTAAGCACTTTTTTGGGGGGAATACTTTCATTAAGGTCAGATATGACACTACCAGCATTTTAGTAAAATATTTCAGATATTATTTTTCCAACACATTCTTATTGCACTCTCCAAACCGATAACATTAGCCCGGAAATATTACACTATCCTTATATTACAGCCGATATACATGACATAGCTATTCCCTAAAAGTTTCCTGCATTGGAGTTTACACTATATGCATTTAGAAATAAAGATTGGTGATGTATTATGTACAAAAAGTTCATTCACTGAATTTTATTCCACATAGAAATCTAAAAAGAAGACAGATGACTTGATATAAGTATAAATCTATGCTTACCTAGTCAGGAAGATCAGATCTAAATACTTTATCGAAGGTGGCTGTGTTTTATTCTCCCAATATCAGATCTTCTGATGATCCTCTGTGGTTGATAATTGTCTTTCTCACTGAGTGGAGTGGTGCACCGCCTTATAATGCAAAGGTTGCTGGACGCTGATTGGTTGTAGAGTTCAGAATAGAAAATACCATGCCTGCGTGGGGTTAAAATCGTGGTATTAAACCCACAAAGCTTATATACATTATAATTCTCTAATAACGAGATCGCAAATCGTGTCATCAGTAATATTTTAGAAAACATCACGTGTTAACAAGCATTGATTTTCTTTTACGCGTTAAAATAAATAGTTTAGACCTTTTAACATTAGTTCTTGAAAACTGGGTATCCTTTTACTCTATAATTATGTTTTTACAAGATTTAATTTCGTGGTTAACTTAGCCACAAAAAGATAACCGATTTAGAAAATAGTGAAAATGTATTTGGCACTTAGTTTAATTCATTGACGATCCCAATAATTTGTCGCCTCAATTATTTTGACTATAATCAGTGTTATGTTACTTGTATAATATATTTGGAAATATTATCCCCATCGGAGTACTAATTAAACAAAACGCATTATGACTACGAGGTTGGCGTATGCACCAGGTTACGCGTTCATCTGGTCTTCATATTGATTAGGCATTGTCGCACGTATAATCAACATCGCTCTATTGACAATTAATAAGTTTTTACACGCCAACCAGGAACGCAGTACAAGAGCAGAGATGGAACATTTTTTTTTTTTAGCTAGTTTTGATATTTTACAAACTTTTTCTTGAAAATATTTTGTCCTAGTCTTATAACTTTACTGGAAATGTAACTACCTGTGAGGTATGTGGGATAATTGTAAAGTTGTCTATTTAAGGTAGGATATTACAAGACGCATGGGGAGCAAAACATTTATTTTTCTACTTAATATACCTCTAATACAGACATTTTGTTTGGTTAAGTGGATGTGTAAAATTACCAAAATATTTGACATCCCAGACACAATTTTCTTATTCACAGTGGTAAATGTTATTCCATTGACCATAATATTATGGGCGTAAGATATTTGTTGAAGCGTAAACTTAAAATTGTTTGAAAATTGCATTGACATTTATCATGTTTTAGTAAAACACAGAAAATCTTCGTAAACGCACATTTACCGGAACAGGAAAGGTATGGTGAAAATGGCGCTGAGATGAGGGTTATTGGTCATTAATATGATTAACTAATACATAATTGAAACAATTGTTATCAACTACTTTCTGCATTTTTAGCGGAAAAGTGTGAAAATAACTTTGGCGCGTATCAATGTTCCATGTGTGTTCGAGGTTCTAAACTAAATTCCAACACTTATATCCACGTTGTGTTCAAATGTCGTTATTTTATCGGCTTTTATTGTGCAGTTCTTGTACGCTTCGCCGTGTCTTTCTCGATTTCCGGATACATTTGTTTCAACTACGCCTGGAAATTACATAAAGTTAAATGGTATTTTATATTAAAATGTATTAACTTTATTGAAGACACGGGTGATTACAGGTAAATTCTAACTTTTCATAACACACACACACACACACACACTGCGTTCAAGCGGAGCAGCAGCAAGTCTTGCCAGATTGTGATGTATTGTGATTATTATTATTATAGGGATGGGGTTATTAAGGTACTTGGAGACAAGTAACACCGAGACCGGCTGATGCATATGACGAATCACAAAAGTTATCCCCAGCGGTATTGTCCCATTCTACTGCACTAAGTCCTGGGTCCATTCACGAAGGAGACATGTGGTCAAATTTTCCGCCCTTGATAATTGTACTGTTTTGATCGACCAATCAAACAATTCATTGAAAGATACATTATGGAAGATTAGATAAAGAGTTGGCAGTATTCACTATAATAGTTAAAACCTAGATAATGTAAATGGAATATGCTGAACATTTCAGTCAGGTTGCTTCACTCTAAGCCGCGAAAACCTTATTTTAAAATCACCGTAGCCTCGATTGTCATTGTTACCATTGTGACTATAATCAACAAAGTCTCAATTATTCACGGGCGTTGAATAGCAGATCGGATTCAAATCCAATAACAATCGGACACATAAGATGACATCGATGGTTAATTTATGGTCTTTTCGTGTTAATAAATGGTAATAAATAGTTTATAGAACATCTTAGGCTTATAGAAAGGCCTGCATTAGGCAGATTTAGCTCTTGCATAATGTATGTTTAATACAAAGCGAAGGGAAGTATCTCGCATTTTATTACAGCTAAGATCGCGTAATTGTTGTTGCAAATTTTAGGACATGGTTTTGTGTGCATGCCACTTCTTTAATATACTATTCAAAAAAAGTAGGGGATATTTGATTTTGGGGGCATAATACTAAAATATGGAAATGACTACGAAAAAAGTCACTATAGAACCTAACAGAAGAAACATTTCCAGTTACATGTGACGCCCAAACGCACCAATAGCTACCGCATGGAATGCAGGTGATGCTTGGGATCATCATGGGGGTCCAACCCAAGATTTGCACGACTCTGACTTTGAATGTTACAGTCATTGTGGCATTGAATTCCAGGGTGGAAACATCAGTTTAATTGTTTTAGTGACCGGCTTACCCAAAATGAAAGGTTACGTGCCCTTGGCATGCTACGGATCGGCACAACACAGGCGGTTGTGGCGCGGACGATGAATGTTTCTCAGTCTGTCATAAGCAGGCTATGGTCCAGATACCGTGATACCTTTACCTTCGCGCCCGACGTCCTCGCGTGATCCCTTGTTTGAGAGATCATCACATTCAGGCAAGACGTCGTTGGTGTAGGGATCGTCAACACTGGGATAATCGACGCTGGAGCAATGTGATGTTTTCAGACGAGTCAAGGTTCACTGTTGATTTTTTGGACAGACGTAGGAGGGTGTGGCGTCGTCGAAATGAGCGCTTCCAAGACGTTAACGTCATCAGACATGATCGATTTGGGGGTGGTTCTGTTATGGTGTGGGGAGGCATCACTGTTGCTGGAAGAACGGCTTTACATGTTGTTGCAGGGCGTGTTACAGGCCAGTACTACCGGGACAACATCTTGGCAGTCCATGTTGTGCCGTTCGCACGACGTCATGGCCGCCGTTTCATCTTCCAGGATGACAACGCAAGATGTCACAGGGCCAGGATCGTTACAGGTTACCTCCAACAACAGAACATCACCACATTACCTTGGCCAGCACTGAGTCCCGACCTCTCCCCCATCGAGCATGTCTGGGACATGCTTGGACAGAGGTTACGTCAACGTCAACAACGTCCTGCCAATGTCCAAGAACTTGCTGCTGCGTTGCAACAGGAATGGGACAATCTGGACCAAAATGACCTTAGACGTCTCATTAGGAGTATGCCACGTCGGATCAATGCTTGTTTGGCAAACAGAGGAGGATTTACCCGTTACTGACTTGGTTGTGATGCTGTGGTAACTTTGCTGTTTGACCCCGGGTATCATTTTACCCTTATAATGGTCAGTCTGTGCCTTACTTAGTCTAACGATCAATTGGAATAAATCGATGAATGTGAACTTCATTTCATTTTGTCATTTGTTTCTTCGTCAGTTTCATTAGGTGACTTTAATAACACTTAAAAATCAAATATCCCCTACTTTTTTTGAATAGTATATTAAACTTCTTACAAACCTTCTCATAATCGAATGTACAAGCTGTTGTATTGTGGTAAACGTAAACTATGGCGCTGAGATTTGTATTGTTTTTTTGATTGGTTCTTAAACTCAACCTACGTGCCAATGAAATCATCAAGGGCAGATAATTTGAATTCACGGAAACCCCGTGAATGGACCCAGGGCTTAATAGTGTAGAACGGAACGGTACGATACCACTGGGGATACCGAGGGTTAGACTCACTAGGTTAGTTAGACACATACACTGATGTCGTACATATAACCACGATGTATTTGAACATCTCGGCTTTTAATGACGGATGTCTTTCTAGAATGTAGTGCGAATGGGTTCTCGCACCTATTTCTAAACTGGTCTGTTTGGTATTTCGGGGGTCATTACGAACACCGTTAAGAATTGAGATTAAAGAGACTTATCTTCTAAGTAATGGACTAGGCCAATGACGCCAAGTGTCTGACTGTACAAATTTGGTTAAAGTTTTTGTTGTACTCATCGCAAATCATAAAGAAACAATCCCATCTAAGCTAATATCTACGCACGGTTCCTTATTAGTCCAGCATTTATTTCAAAGATTGAAATTCCTGGTATAGTGTTGTTTGACTGACCGATCAAGTACATGTAAATGATACAATTCGTTGGGCGTTTTCCTGTAGAAAAGACGGAAGTGGGCTGAAGGCGAGTGTGACCCTTGTCAAGGGAGATAACCGGGGTTTAACAAACGTTTCCTCGACACAAACCACATGGTGAAATTTCATTTCAATAATTCGCTAGCACCCGCGTTAGACCCCACCCACCCCAACAATCCGACTCTAGTTGAACAGAAGGATATCAGTTAAGGGAATAAGGCACTGACTCGCTAACCTGGATGTCCATGGTACGATTCCGCTGTTGGTCGAAAAACTTCCCTTTCCGACGTAGTTTTCTAATCATTCGCATGGGAAGAAAAATGTTGGCCCCCTTACACCTTGGCGTGGACATAAAATAACCCTTGACAGTTGGAATACAATTGCTGTCCGGACAAAATCTCTCCATAGCAGGCTGCATGGTGTATATGACCGTCTTCATTAGCCCGGTTGGAGCAGAAAAATAAACTTCCTTTCATTTTATAAAGTTACAGCTAGATTTTTAGTTATAACTGAATCTCGTGTGAACCATATAATTTATGTTATATTTGTGACCACATCTCCAACTTTACCTGAGCAATAAGGTTCCTTCCCAAACACAGAATTAAACCCAGGAAATGTTCTCAAAAACGCAACCTGACTTCTGAGATGGTAATGTGTTCTCCATGATTTTCATGTAACTCATGCTGCACGTGCTGTTCACCGGGACCAGCCCTATAAAATGCACCCCCATACCTGGTTGAATCATTCTCACTACAACGTCAGCAGCATGCCACGACTCACGACAGCTCAGAGGAACCAGGCGCT